TAGAGAATTGCACCTTAAATTCAAAGTGGCCTCTTAATGCCATCAACTGTAACTCCGTCAACAATGCTTTCTTACTAGAGAAAATTTGGCCAATTGTAATTTTCGGATTCCAATCACTTCGCGAAAACCCGCTATCCAAATATGCTTCTCCATCATTTACACCGGCTTCATTGTACCGGTTCTGTTCACCTATTTGATTCCAATCATGTTCACGAATGGGTTCATAATCTCCTCTTAAACGCATTATTGGCAGTTGGGTAGATGTGTTCAAGCAGCCCAAAATAGGAGGGGCAGAGTACACTGACACTTCATTTCTTTCAGTATCATTATCACCACCATGCATCTCCTCCACCTTGCTAAAATCAACCATCTCCGTAAAATCTGTCCCTACTTCACCTCCCACATCAAGTTACTTCATTGCTTTCAACAATGGCAACTGAAGAACGACCCATTCGACTACTATCTGTTGTGATATGCATACTATCAACTACATCATTTGTCAGTCCTTTATCTTCTATACTCACGAGTAAGGGAGCTAGTTTTGAAGGTGTTACCTCAGAATTGTTCTTCATAAAAAAATGACATCATCATCGTCCTCAATCTTTATGTGCTTCCACTCATTCGAAGCCAACAAAACTAAGAATTTTAAGCAAACCTTGTCTTCCCTGTTGTTTGTATTACCAATTTGATGCACACGGTCCAACAGTTTAGCAAATTTGATGGTCCGTGGAACTATTAAGCCTTTTGAGTCACCCCCTTCGTATTTGCATATCTTCTTCGAGGTGACCTATTTTCCATTGTAACACACGAGAATAACAATTGTCTCCATTTCTGACCATGACAAAACAACATTTCATTAACACAATATAACAACAATAACCATACAATACAATGGCAATATAACAGCAATATAAAAGCAATATAATGGCAATATAACAGCAACATAACAGCAATACGACAGTAAAATAAGAGGAATACAACAGCGGTGCACCAGTAACACATCAAAATCACACTATACAGATCTACTACATCAAATGGAAAATCCCATGTTTCAAGATTCACATATCCAGACTAATCTAAGTGCAATTGGTACAAACCCAGATGAATGAGCATGAATATTCAACAAAACCTAACCCACAACAATTAAAGCCAAAACGAATTTAACACAAACCCAAACAATCAAAATATAACCCATTTCACATAATCCCACTGATATTAAGAAAATAACTATCAACACTACCTTTTCGAGGTCAGTAATCCACTAGAGCATCAAGGTTGCAAGCAGCTATTCAGAAGACACACCTAAAGGGAGAGGTTCACGATTCCAAACAGAGAGCAAGGGACCAAATAAGGGAAGAAAGAGACATAACGAAGCTAGAGAGAGAAAGAGCTGTGCTATGAGAAAGAGAGCAAAGAGAGAGACAGAGAGTTGCACTAGAGAGAGAGAGAGAGAGAGAGAGAGAGCTGAGTGAGCTAAGATAGAACAAAATTTCTGAACTTGTGAAAAATCAGCAATAAGTGGACAATAATTTTATATTTATAGGTGATAGTTGTAAAAAAATGGGAAAGAGGGGTATTTTTAGTTAAAATTATGAAATGGGTGACATTTTAAGCTATTTCCCTATAATTTTCTCAATTTAAAAAACGAAGTTCAGAGTTTTTTTTTTAATTCCGAAATCTTTTTATATTTGCCTTAATACTCGAGAGAGCATATGATTGAGAGGGCTCTTGAATTGGTTATTGGCTCTACCCCTAGCCCCTTCATATTCCGCATCCTGCTGCTTCTTTGCTTGCTTTTCTCGATCAAGCATTCCTGTGCTGAGCAAAGAGGTAGTAGCATTTTTTTGACAATATTTCTTCACGGGTTTTGGGAATTGGAAAGTGAAATTTATGAAAGAATAAAATAAAAGAGACAACTCTGGCGCCAAGAGGCTAAAAAATTTAACGTGTTCCAGCTCCAGACTCGTTAATAACTTAGGGCAGAAAAGGCAGTTGAAAATTGTAAAAAGCGTCAGCCCATTTTCTTTGGGACAAAAGCAGAGCGAGAAATGGAGGAGGCATTGAATGTCGCCGAGTCAATGCCAAGGGTTAACCTGAAAGACACTATTGAAGAGCTCTTGAAGTTCACTCTCCAATCTTGCACAAACGGAACCCTAGAAATCGATCTAGGGCTGCCCAAGGAATTTTGCTCCCGCCTCCTCAAATCCGAGCCAAACGACCTCTCCTCCCCTTCCCACTCCGATTCTTCTACTGGTACAAAAATTAATTCATCCTTCATTTTCCATTGCTTTGCAGGAAAATTCTTGGATACTATGCCCAAATTTTTATAGCTTTTCATTGTAAGTTTTGATTTTGAATTTCCGGTGGGTTTATGCATGTAATATGCATGTAATGTATGCATGTGCGTGAGGCCAGAAATGTATATACGCATTGTACGATTGAGATTTACACGCTTTAGGTGACTTGTCATCTGAATTTGATTCATGGACTCTTTGGATTGTATTGTATTCAAATATACCCATTATGCAGGTATTTTTGAAGGGGTTCCACCATACCCTTTATACAAGCGTCTCGCATTGGCTTTGCATGAATCCATAGCTTCTGGTACCCTTTTCGGTACATGCAACAATGCGTCCATTATTCATCAAGAAAGTTCCTTGAAGGAGAAAGAAAATGAATGGCAGAAGCTGATCTCGGAGAAGGGATCTGAATTAGTAAATGTAAACTACAATTAGCGGTGTCATTTTTGCTACATTTAATCTTGATGTTTTCATATTTAAAGTAGCTTCATTATTTAAAGAAAAAATTTGTTGCTTTTCACCAGGTATTGAAGACTGTTAAAATTGAGCTTCATGTTCAGGAGCCTTTCTTTTCGCAGCTTAAAGGTACTAATGAGTTTCTATTCTAAAATTCCATGTTTCCAGGCACGTCTCTAGATTTTTATTTTTGTAATAAATAGGATGGTTGAAAATCTTTTGATATAATTTTCTATCCTCTACGAAGTGAAGCTTATTCTATCAATTTATTTGGCATTATCCATAGATGGCCTCAAAACAATTGAAGGGAGGTGTGCTTTGGGTAATTGCAGTAGGTACGACGATTCGAGTTTCATGCGTATACCAGTATGTATGTAGGCTTGTTGGTATATTTTTAACAGCGGTTTCTGTTTAAGTAGTACATAATTTCTTATTCTCAATTTAATATAGCCATTCAGTTAAAGTTTTTAAACAAAGGCCTGCGTAGGTTACATTGTCTAACATTGATGCCAAGAGTCTCATTTAACTACCTAAATGCATTGCTATGTTTATTTTTCATGCATTCTGTACATAGCATTCCATTTTATTTATTTATTTTGTCTGTTTATTTCCATTAAATAAAAACTGAACTGAATTTTCTCACCCCATCAATTAATTGGAGGAAAGCCCTACAACAATATCTTAATAAGTGTGAGAATCATGTAGCATCACAAGGACAATGCGTGTACAAGATAAACATATCCATAAATTCTAGTCCTTCCTCTTCATACAGGTGAGCTTTATGAATGGGGGTTCCTGTTAAGTAAAAAGAAAAAAGGGTTGGGGGACTTAGATCGTAGTACAGTCTTGAGTCAGTATCTAACGAAGGAAGAGGTTTTTAGGAAGTACCTATCCTTTGGCTAGGGCTTTCTTCAACTGGTTGGATTGCTACTCATGGAAGGGTGAATATTTAGTGAGGTTCTTCAACTGAAGGGGCCACATTGTTGTTTGTCCTCTCAATGGTGCCCTATGTGTGAGGGGATGCTGAGACCATTGATCATCTGTTCATTCATTGTTTGGTGGATTTTTGGCTGGAGTATAATTGTTTTCAGCGGTATGGGTTGAGTTGGTTGCTGCCTTATCATGTAAACCTTTATTTTTAGAGTTTTCGTGCTTTTGAAGGTGGAGCCTATTAAAAGTTTTGTGGACAGTGCCCTAGCTATTTTATGGTGATATGGATGGTAAGGAAAGGAACAGTTTAATCTTGAGAGCAAAGTTGTGGAAGTTATGGGATAAGGCTAGATTTTGGGCCTCTATGAACTTTGGTCTCTTCCGTCTTTCGTGATTGTCATGTGGATTGAGAAGCTGGTCTATCATAGTTCTCCTGATTGTTGTTTGGGCATCTTTTGTTTCTATTTTATGCATGGTTGGATTCTGCATTTCATATACTGTTTTCAGTCTCTTGTTTATTGGAGGATGAGGGTTGTATGTTTTGTGAACTGCTGGTCCCTTTGATTGTACATCCCATTCTTATTAATATAATCATTATGCTTCTTCTCGGGGGGGAAAAAAAAAAAGAAAGATGCATGAGCAGTGATGGATCATTGTTCTGATTATGATTGGTGGCTGAGTTTATTATGTTGATAGTGTTTTGTAGTTATTCCTTGTCCACTATGAACTTTTATGTTTCTTTCAACCTTCATAGTACACTTTTTGAAGGCTTATTTACTGTTTTACCCCCTGAAACGGACACTCGATCTCACTTTACCCCTTTAAACTGAAATTTTCTCACTTAAACCCCAGAATCTCTAAAAATTACTGAAATTTTCTCACTTTACCAATTCTGTCCATTTCTGTCTACAAAACCGTAAGGGTGCTGACATGGTATAGGCATTCTAGTAATTTTGGCTATCTATCTTATCTCTTCTCTTTGCCTCTCACTTCTCTCCCCTCCCCCACCCAAGCCCCATCGCACCCCACTCCTCCCCCTCTTCTCTCCTCTCTTCTCTCTTCTCTCTGCCTCTTTGTCTCTCTCAAACTCTCTGCATCTCTCTTCTCTCGCATCCCCTGCCTAGACCCAACCCCATCACACCGCACTCCTCCCCCTCTTCTTTCTTCTATTGCCTCTCTCTCTCTCTCTCTCTTTCTGTGCGAAGAGAGAATATGGGGAGTGGCTGTCGAGGAGATTTTTTTAAAATTTTGAATGGTGGTGGTGGTTTGGTTGTGTTGAGTAATTCCATGGAGGATTAGGTCTGGGGTGGGGGTTGGATTTGGCGAAGGGAGGGGAGAGAAAAGAGAGGCAGAGAGGAGAAAGAGGCAGAGAGAAGAGAGAAGAGAGGAGAGAAAGGAGGGGGAGGGTGCGATTGGGGTGTGATGGAGGTTGGGTCCTGGAAGGGAGAGAAGGGAGAGAAGGGAGAGACAGAGGGAGAGAAAGAAGAAAGAAGATAATAAGGAGCTAAAATTAATAGAATGCCCATGCCACGTCGTCACATTTAACGGTTTTGTGGATGGAAATGGACGAAAGTGGTAAAGCAAGAAAATTTCAGCAATTTTTAGAGATTCAAGGGGTTAAATAAGAAAATTTCAGTTTGAGAGGGTAAAGTGAGACCGAGTGTCCGTTCCAGGGGGTGAAACAGTAAATAAGCCTTTTTTAAAAAAATTTATTGTTTATCTATACAAAATATCCCATGCTTGCAGCACATTATGCTTCCATGGTTACTGTGATGTAGGATATGGGTGAATTGTAGATTTAGGTAGTTTAGCGGAAGCAAAAACAATGAAAACAGAAAATTAAACGAAGAAGGATAGATCTGGAATCACTCCAGGGGCACACCCGACCTTAGCTTCACACCAGAACTCTCCAATCCCTGGAATAATAAACTTTTCTGATAACTCAAATCTAATCTCTAATGAATTACATGGGGCTTTATTTATAGCAAACTAAAACCTAGAGACAATAGGATTAACATCCCTTACTAAAACAGAAATTATAACCCAAATAAAATAGGAAACTTAGAAATCTGGAAAAACTAGAAGTCCTACTGAAATCTGGAAAACTTAGAGAACCTAAGAAACTAACAAAAGAAAAAAGGAAACTAATCAATGATGTCCGCATCATACTGTTTCGGAGGTTCAAGATTGGAAAGACCATGCTAAAAAAGAAGAGTAGAGATAATGCTTCTTGTTAACTAGCACTGGCTTTAATGTGGGCATGAGATTTTGTTCAAGAATTGCATTATTGATTCCCATTAATTTTTTGTTTTACTTCCATCTCATCAATGTTCCAATTTTAATCATTAATTATTCATCCACTAGTTTTTTTATTTTTTTTATTTTTTGGGGTATGTTAAATGAACATATCTTTCATGTGTTTTCATTTTCTGGTTGCAGAATTGACTCAGGATCTTTGATTCTCTTCAATAAATGTCTACTATTTGAAGTTCAGGTGCCGATGCTTTTGAGTTATTAGTTTCTGTTTTTGTATATCCATGTGGCTGCAGTTTGACTTAATGGATTTACAGGATATTCGCAGTTATTCTTCATTCTCTGATATGATGGAGGCAGAGGGTCTTTCTAAAGTCCTTCCTGGAGTTGAAACCATTGAACAAGGTAGCTGCTTTTTAATTTTTAGGTACCATGCCAGTTTGTAACATGATTTATCAGCTCATACGGTACCAAGTTAATAAGGGTTTGACGTATAGCTAAAAAGATTTCTCTTGTTGTATGGTTATCTTGATTATAAGATTTCGAACTGGATATAAGGGCTTTTGAGAAACAAAATCTGGCATTTTGTTAATATATTCAAAAGACAAACTGTAAAGTACCATGGATAATATAATCATTTGATCATATAAAAACAGGAGTGCAAGAACACTGGTTGGTTCCTGATAATGAGAACACTGTCTGCACACATTACCTAAGTGGTCGTAATTGTGGTCAGCACTACGATCAGGCTATATGGTGTTGCAGTGGTAGGTTATCAACTGTCAAATGAGCATATTAGAAATACCTAAAAATGCGGAAGATTTTTCAAAATGCGCAAACTGGGTTTGGTGCAAAGTTTATCATATCCCTGGCACTCATATTCACAACTTTGAGTTGTGACAGAAATATTTAAGCTTATTTTCTGTGTTCAAAGAAGAGTCATAAGTTTTTTATTTGTTGGATTTTTCCAACTATACATTGACTGAAGGAAGGACCTTTCTATTCAGCATATAACCTTACCCATATTTCAACCTATCTTGCTACTCTAGAATTTCCTCTGCATCTTACACTCATCATTGTCAACTATAGTTGTTGGATCTTCAATCTATTTAGTGCCTTTTATCTCCTAAGTTACTCATATAAGGGGTTGAGCGGAGAATATTGAGATCACAATCAGTCATGAATGTTAGGAAAATATGTTTTCAATCACCCTAATATGTATTTTTAGTGCTTTAAACCATTTTAATTTGGTCTTATGGAAGAACCACACTAACACCCTAAATGTCTTAATTATTTTTTTTCCTGTCATCAACAAGTGATTTATGGCTTTTGTAAAAATTTCTCGATACTAATGGGTGTGCAGCTTGCAGGTGTGCAAATTTACAGAAAGTTTTACACAGAAGAAAAGGAAAGGTCAAATGGTGTCCTTGCGATTTGTGTTTCAAAGTTTCCTCACCAGCCTTACATTTCATTAGCTAGAATGCTATTTGTAAGTGTATTTCTTTCTGCATTCTTAGACACATTCCCATAAGTGTGGATGTGTAGTTTACTTTTAGTCTGATCACTTGTGAACCTAGTGCTCTAATGTCCTCTTATTGAAGCATTTTGTACGTGAACAGCTGCCTTGAGTTGATAGAAGTTCACAATGGTTGTGTGAAAGTTTTGACAGTTATATTCTTTTATTCAGGGATTGAGTCTGGGGGGTCTTCAAGGCCTTCTTGGTCTGGCACATACCACAGGATCTACTCCAGATGCTCTACCCCCGCCAACATTTACTCTTCTGTCATCATTTGTGCTGCCATATAAATTGAATGTACAACAATGATTGCTTGGGAAAATTGCATTGTTAGATGCTCTTTTCTTGTTGTAGAGTAGGCATTTAGAAACCTCCTAAAATGATTAAATCTGAAACAGAAAAGAATTCTGGTTGTTGATCATGAAGCCACTTATTTGTGATCATGTGAAAGACTAATCTAGCAACTGGTGTTAAAACAGCACATAGCTTTTGAATTGGTGGATTTCTGGGTATAAAATAAACAAATAAAAAAGATAGACAATATACTGAAAGTTTGTAGTTCTGTTTTCTGCATGTTTATTCCTAGAGGCTTTCTGTTTTCTGCATATTTATTCCTAGAGGCTTCAGAGACTGATTTATATATTGCATGCTTTTTATTTACTTCATTCTTTCTGACTACAGGTTGAAGGTAGTGCATTGACTCATGGAGCTAGGGCCTTGGCAAAACATGCACATCGGAGTAGCAGTAAATATTGGGGTACCTTAGTTGGAAGTGGTGAGAAACTGTCAAGGCCTTGATTTAAATCTAGAGTCTGGAGATTATTATTAGTACCTTGTTTGTTATTGATTCTTTCACACATTTAATTGTGGTTACATACAACCTGTCTTTCTTTTAAAGGCCTAGAAATTTGAGATTTTTTATGTTAGTTTCTTTTGCTTATATAAATTTTCTTGACTATCACGCTTCCATCACCTGGTGTTGGACACCGCGACTCCCATTCAAAACTATGAAGAAAAGAAATTCATAATTTAAAGTTTAGAAATTTGCTTAAGCACTAGAGCTATGAGAACAATTATGAAAATAATAATGATATTTATGTTTCTTGACAAAACCTCTGAACATCAATGTTCTGCTATCATAGGGTTATTTAAAATTTGTAAGTACTAATACAGGTTTGTAGGTTGATTGTACAGAAGATTCACACATCTTTCTTAGATATTCGCATAACTTAGAGGCTAGAGGATAAGAACACTAAACACTTTTAACCTTATTGGTCAAGGTCCTTATATATTTTAAATGTTTTTTGGTTTTGGTAATGAATTGCGTGCATATTCTGTGGTCGAATGTGATAAGCTTTGTGCACTGCTACAAATACTGTGCTTAAATTGCAAATATTTAAATCAAGATCAAACTATAAATATTTTGAGTTTTTGGGTACAAGTGTTTACAACTAAGTTTTATTCATGTGATTATGTTTTGATACAAATACTGTGATTTTATGTTTTTTTATTTTATTAAGATCAGTTGTGTTTCCTTTTTCTTTTGCTCTTTTTAGATTCCAATAAAAACAGGCTCGCATTGGATGTCATCAGTCAATTAATGACACATTGTTGCTGGTTAAATGTGCATAGTGTTCAACCACACGGTGTTGTCTTTGAAATAAGGGTTGCTGAAGGATATGGTGCACGGTGGTCGGAAGATGGTAGCAAAGTATCTGCGATCATCCCTAACTATGCTTTTATCCATACTCAACTCAATTTAAAGTTTCACCATGGGCCTAAATCATGTCTAACTAATACTGTTGGGGCTTTTGGCAACCTGAACCACAGTTGTACCATTTAGTTAAACATGTTAAATTAATTATTGAAAGAAGATCAAGCATCAAGTTTCTTCAATATAAAGCTTAAGCATATAGATTGAAATGCCCTTTTTCTAAAAAGCAATAAAGTGATTGTGTCTCCTTGTGGACTTTCAGTTTATCGGATTTTTAGAGCCATACATGGAAGACGGTCATCCAAAGGGATGGAAGCACTAAACAGGTTCATCAGATGTTGCCTTTAGCTTCTTTGGTTCAGATAGGCATTGCCTTCTCAAGGACCCCTCTTGCTTGCTTTTCTTGATGAGGCTTTGAAAGATTGTTCCTCTTTCTTTTCCACACTACATTTGCGCTCCTGATCGCTTCCATTTATACAGACAAGGAGATCTTGACTGAGCTATTCCAGATGCACTCGAAATACATTCTAGCAATTTGTCATATGGATAAGCCACGGAGAACTCTCCTGTAAGTCACTGCGCCAGCTATAAGACTCCTGCACATGGTATCTCAACTGATTATCACCTTTCCAATTTCTTTCAACGATCAGCTGCTGTGTTTATATCTCCATGCCATATTAGCCCCTGTTGGTTATTCATATACCGAATACTAATTACTCCTATGGACATATTAGATTTAAGCTCTCCCTTGTAACTTCTAAGACTTAACAAATATTGTTTGTTTTGTTGATTTATTTTGAGGAAAAATGCACATATTGTAGCCATAGCATTATCTAATCGCTGAAACTAAAAGGCAAGCTCAATGTACTCGATGATTTTCTGTTTTTCTTTCTTTTCCCCCTCTTTTATCATGAGTAGGCAAAGAAAGCTTATACAAGTTAATGATGAGGTTACGCATCTTGATCTTGGAGGAACTCAAGCAATTGGACGGAAATTTATATGTGCTTAAATTGCAAAAAGCATCAAACTACAATGGCAAAATGGCAAAAATGAAATGTACATGGACGAAAGCGAAACATCGCGAGCAAACTAGGTGGATCAAAATTTGAACATTATTTTATATCACATAATATTTTTATTGCCACTGAGAACATATTGTGGGGCAACAATTTCGTTGGTCTCCAAAAATGACTTCTTTACCACTGAAATTCAAGTAGAAAAGCATATTGATCGTGAGTCTTTTGAACACAATGGTGTGGTGTGAGCCAAATAGCATCCGATGCTAAAACCAGTTATGAAATCAAGAATTAGGTTTTTCATATCAATAGAACCGTACCTCCTTTTGATGGTTGAAGTTGGGTTTTATATGGCTCGTTAGTGGCTGACTTATCATCATATGAGGCTGCGTTTGGCATTAATTGGGGGCGTTTCTTGACCGTTATGTCACACATCCAGTCAATTAGCTATTTGACTTGGGATGTGTGGAATACTTGCCCAAAATGTGTGGGCATGATCTCCGAGATTGTTGCTGTTGTAACTAGGGAGATCTTGGGGGATCAATGCTGATCCATTTTGGAGCCGTGCTGTCCAAGGATTAGTCATGTTTGGACTCACTTCATGACTGATCTCAGGCCCACATGTCTTCTTAACCCATGTTTGGGTTCATTGGCTTGACGAGGCCCAGGAAGTTTGGTTGGCCCTATTGGGTTTAGGGCGGTTATTTAGTGAGAACGCTTATGTGCGAACGTTATATGAGAACCAAATCCAGCCATCCAAATTATCTGAACGGCTAAAGAGAAAAGGCAAGCTTACGGTAAAAACGGGTAGGCTGTAGTTCCCCTTAGCCCAAGTGTCAAGTCACGCCTGCTTTGAAAAAACGCGTCATTCTTCTTCCTGACAGTGGCCAGTCGCGCCTTTCTTGTCAATAAATTGATGAATTTATGAATTTATGAATGAACCCTAAACACCCAAAATACCTACCAGACATAAATTTGTGTATTTATCTTGTCGCAGAAACTCCCTGGTGTGCTCTGGCTCCTTCGCTTGCTCCCTCATCTAATATTTCTCATTTGAACGTCTGAGAAAGTACGTTTCTCTCGAATTCCCTCTCTTTCATTCATATTAAAGTTTGCATGTTATATTGCATTCAGTTAATGTTTAAATCACTTAATGTTTAATTTTTTTTTAGGATTTTAGGGCATTGATTTTCTGGGTAACAGTAGTTTGTCTCTGGTGTAGGATTTTAGGCTTTGATTTTCTGGGTAAGAGTAGTCTGTCTCTGTAGTAGTTGTGTTTGCAAAAATATAAATTGGCGTCAGTTGTTTTGTTTGCGTCTTTTTCTAGTTTCTAGTAATTTGTTGAAGCATAGTAACTAATTTTTAAAGTATTTTTGCGGTTTAAATATTATTTACTTTAAGTTGGGTTGTCTTTTTATCGCAATTTATTGTGGTAATTTGTTGAAGTGTAGACTCGCAGCTGTTGGTTGTTCCTATGTTTTTTGCATTGTGCTTGCTTGTTGTCTTTTCTTAAAATTCCAGAAACCTTCATGTGTTGGTCATTGTAATCCTGCTTTGCCCATCTAGTGGTGTGAGTGTATGACATCATTTTAGGGATTTAATGGGGTTTGGAAAACAATACCATTAGAAGTAGAAAGCAGAAGAGAAAATTGAATCTTAACTGTGAATATGAGATGATTTGGGATGCAGAAGGATCAATGCATCTTCTAGTAGGTATGAATTATGTATGTTAATGTGTTGAAAATAGTGTTGGTAGGTATCAATTCTGTGTGTGAATGTGTTGAAAATAGTGTTTGTAGGTGAGTTGAAAACAGTGTTTCAGTTTTGTATCTTAATGTGTTAAAAATAGTGTTAGTAGGTATCCATTATGCATCTGAATGTTTGAAAATAGTGTTTGTAGGTATTAATTATGTATGTTAATTTGTTGAAAATAATGTATCAGTTTGCATCTTAATATGTTGAAAATAGTGTTAGTAGGTATCCATTATGTATGTGAATGTGTTGAAAATAGTGTTTGTAGGTATTCATTATGTATCTTAATGTGATGAAGATGTGTAGATAATATTGTCAGTAGGTATCACTTCTGTATGTTAATGTGTTCATATTTGTGTGAACAGGTATCACTTATGTTTCTTAAGCAAAAGGTGTTTGTTTCAGTTATAAAATGGAATGTGGGTTCGAACTTTGTTTGCCGGAGTCAGAGGTCTATGCTGCGCGAGTGAATAATATAATGCTGTGTAATTTTGGGGCGCATTTCAGTGAGTCGCTTATGAAAAGATTTAGAGATAGCTGTTTTGGGCACCTGTTAGGCCTCTATAAAATTGCATTGAGTGGTCAAATTGTGCATGCTCTGGCACTCCGGCGAGTCGGAGGACTTGGTGTTAAGGACATGCTGGGCCTTAGTTATGCAATAGGGTCCAATATTGCTAAATTTAGTGTAAAGGATTTTTGTTTGATAAGTGGTCTGAAATGTGGAACAGAGCCTGGCATAACGTCCGGGGCGGATGCTCATAATCGATTTATGAAAGCACATTTTAGCAACAGGGGTCACATTACTTGCAGTGACTTAGAAAATGCATTCCTAAAGTCCGAAAGAGGAAGCGAGGACTCGTTCAAATTGGGGCTGCTGTATTTTGTGGAGTTTATGATAATGGGTAAACCCCAAAATGTGAAGATAAACGAGGAGTACTTACATTTGGTTCATAAAATGGACGAATTCAACAATTATCCGTGGGGATCTATAACTTTTGAGTGTCTGCAAGATTCTCTGTTGTTTGCTCCTGGGAAGAAAGAGAGTGATGAAGAGAAAAATGGGAAGGGAAAAAGACAGGAAAAGGGAAAAAAGGCGGCGCGGAGTTTAGTGAGAAAAGGGAAGAAAAAGGTGGAAGATGAGAAGCCTAAAAGAATAAACAGATCTGCATGGAATATAAAGGGATTGAGCTATGCTATCCAGGTATGAAGTAGTTCAAAATTAGTGTTTGTAAAATTTTAGTTCGTAATTAAGTACTGACTTTGATAATCTATTTGTTGTAGATTTGGGTGTATGAATTAATTGCTGAATTGGGAATTCCCCCCCTTAGATATTGTAAGTGGATCGAGGAACCTGCATTAGTCCCTCGAATTTGCCGGTGGGAATCCACGGATAAAGTGCCTGAGTTTAGAAAGCTGAACGCTTATATATTTCAAAGCAAACAGGTGTGTAGTTAATAATTTATTTTAGTACTAAATTCGTTTCATGAAGAAAGCTGTTTAGTATTGTGTATGACCTGTTAACTCTATGTGTTTGATAGCCTGTTATACTGCGCTTCTTACGACCAAGTCAATTGGAGATGAGCCAACCGTATTGGAGTTGGGGATCAAATGTTCCTGAATTTGATGCACCCAATGTAGGTCCACGGGTATGTAAGGACCTTGATGAGTTAAACTCTGTTGTGCAGCAGTTGAGGAATGAGGTTGCAGTATTGTACCGTGCGAAGGGTCAGCTAGAGGAGAGAGTTTTATGCTTGGAAAAGTGTATGAGGCATGCAGACGCGAGGAAGACTGGGGATGCTGGAGCGGAGAGGAATAAGACTAAGGATGCTGGAGAGGAGAGGAATGAGACTGAGGATGCTAGAGAGGTGAGTCAGAAGACTGATGATGCTGGAGAGGAGAGTGATAAACTGAGGATGGTGGAGTAGCTGAATCGAGACAGCAGTGTGTACAAAATGCTAAAAAGGAGGTGCAATATACACCCCCAGATATAAATTGGGATGATCCGGGTGTGGTGTGTGTCACCCTTGTTAAATTTCTTACGAATCCTCCCCGAAAGATTGACACGTCCACTGCTGAGGTTGAATGTGGCGAAGATGTTATAGTTGTGGTCCGGCAAAAGAGGGGTCGGGGAATTCTTAGCCCTGCGATGAAGAGGCGAAGGGCAGTGGTGAGGGAAACTCCATGGATATGTCTGGAGATTCCCAATATTTTGGAGGACACAATTGCTGACCCCCTCAGGCCTGTTCCTCATGGTTCCCTTTTGGAGGTTGTGAAATTCTGCTGGGAATGGGGACAAGAAGAAAAGTAAGTTCCCACTGCCCATCCTTCGTGAAATGTAAATGGTTTATTATGATTAATTATTGAGTGAATGGTGAAACGGAATTGATAATAATAATGATTCACAAATACAGTTCACATGTGCAGTTATGTGGAGAAGACGGTATGGAAGGTTCGCATAACTTCTTTGTTCGATTGCTGACCAAGGATGGTTGGTTGGATGACTCGGTAAGCATTGTTTGATTTGCGATTTTGGCGAAATTGCCATGCTATGTAGTGATTTATTGATTTAATAATGGAAACAACCTTTTATGTAGAACATAGACATGGCCTTGCTTTTGGTACGGGAGCGCCACGAGAGGTCTGGCAACTGAGTAGGTTCTGACTGAACGATACTGGACACCACTTTTCAGGTCTGTATTATTTCTTAAGCATTGTTTATTTTCAAATTTGGTATCCGTTATGATGCATAACTCATGTGCCACTATGCAGAAATGTGCTGCCTTGGATTACAAGGAAATGAAGGCGTATGTGGGAAAGGAGGACAGGCCGCACAACAAGGGTCTACTAGGAATAGTCAAGGGCGAAGGGCTTAAGTTGGCTAAATCATGGTCGTCTGTGAATCGTGTTTGTTTGCCCTTCAACCTACAAAGGCAGAAGCACTGGATCTTACTTCTTGTCGATTTAAAAGAGTGTGAGATAAGGGCATATGATTCAAAAGTAGATCTGTGCAGAACTCAAGCCATCCAACGGGCCGTGCAGCCGGTGGTGAAAATGTTGC